AAATGCGAAAAATACTCTGTACAAGTAGGGCCTCGTGCTCAGCCCGTGCCACTAATAAGAAGATGCGCACCAGGATAACAATAGTGGCTTTGTGCTCAGCCCGTGGCACTAATAACCTCGTCTGCAGCTTATATTGAAGCCTAAGCTTGACTCCACACCACTGTCTGCTGGGCTGTGATGTCTACTCTGCTACATGTGCTGCAGACAGTGTTCAAAGTGTTGTAAAATAAAGGATCTGCTTTCTACCATGTCTAAATCACCCACACCATTCTTTTCTGCATTATGTTCTGTAAAAGCAAGTTTTCATATCAAGCAACACATACCAATATATCTGGGATAATCCAATATCGATTGCTAATATCAGTCAAGGCTATAAAAATGACTATAAAACTAAAACTACCTTATTAGTCATGTAAAGATTTCAGAGCTCCATGCATCACAGTTTCAGTCATTGTCTCTTTGCTGCAATACCTCATTTACTCACCAGGTGTCAGCAGACTTCCATTCTGCTCCCAGCCACCACCTGTTCGGCTTCTACACCTGCCCTCCATGTCCGCCCCTCTGCTGAATTGTTCAATTTGGTTTGTCTTGATGACTGATTTGTGCATTTTTATTTCTATTTTTGATTTCTTTTTTTAACCATCTGGCTCTATTTGCCTTCACGTAAACTTCTGTTTTTCCACATTTTACAATATAACACATCAAAACTGCTCCGGCCTGCTCGGTTCCTCTTCCCAGAACATACTTTTGTTATCTGGTTTCTCTAAGTCAACCGCCATCTCAGTAAGCTGTTACATGAAGCCGTTTATCAACTTGATAGGAATCTTGAAGGGGAATCTGGGCCCCTGCTGGCACCACATGAACTACTGCAAACAGGGACAGGTTCACAGCAGCATATTCCTCACAAGAAGCACAAACTATGATCCTAAAACAATGTGAGGAGTTTAAAAATATAATACAGACTTAAAGCAATGCAGCTAAAAGTCAAGAAGGAAAGCTGGCAAAAAAACGCCTGCAAACTGTATGACTGCCCAAGTTAGTAGGTTAGTCAGAATTATTTTGTCACTTAGATGTATTCTATGGCTTATAAGACAATTTCAGTCTTATTATTCAGCTGTAACAGTCTTGTGAAGGAAGTAAAAAAAACGTGATGCAAAGCGGCATCTTCTGAGGTCGACCAATACAAGGCTTTACCACTTTGATAAGACTCGGTTTTATTTTTTAACTGCCACCCTAAGGCTCATTAAACTGTCTGATCACTGTGTTCCTTGCTTTGTCTCTTCCCCTGTTGACTTCAATCTGCAGCTGAATCTATATCTCTTACATTTGCGCTCATCAGGGAAAACGAAAGCGGCTTTTTAAAAACTCGTGCTCTCCTCAGAGACCCTCTCACTGTCCGTGCACAGAGCGATATTTGCATATGCACTGATGTGTTATCTGGAACATAACCTGAGCAGCTTAAGAGTGCAGCAGAAGTTATCAGGTACCCTGATAAGACGTAAACCACCGTTGTAGCCCTGAAACCTGAAGTTACCTTGTTAGTCTCAAATCCTCCATTGACCTCTGTTCTTTCAGCACGACCCGAGAAAGGATAAAGATACTATACAGCAATATGAATATATTACAAAAGTATTTATATCTGTCACATGGGACGTGGGAGGGAAAAGTGACTTGCATTATTAATAAATCAACTGTTATGAGTGCGTATGATTGACTCGTTTTCCTTTAGTTCTTTAACATCAAGCTCTACAACTTGTGTCATTACATGTATATTTCATTTATTCTTTTTCAAAAAAAAATACAAACACACAGTTTACAGACATAAAATGTGACATTGTTTTCTTGTTACAGTGGATATATGTATGTATTTTAAGTATTTTTAAATCAAATTTCAAAGAAACATAAAACAGATATATACAACAGATAAAAGTCCGAAAATATATAACTTGTTGTGTCATTATAGTTTGAGATAGTCGCTGCTCCTTCTTTAGTGTTCTACAATAACAACAACAATAACAAAAAACAATACAAACACACCAACAGAAGCCATAACTTCCTATAACTTAGATTCTTTAGCATAACAATCAGACGTGCTCGCTTCTAATTCAGCTTCCTTTTCCTTTTTTCCTCTTCGCCTGTTCGAACGTGAAGAAGACATTTAGCCATGAACAGTTGAGTCAAAGTTCATCAATAAAGTAAACATTTCTTGGAAACCATACAAAACAACTTGAGAGAGCAACACTGCAAGTAAAAAAATTCAATTCTAAACTCACCCGCATATCTGCTGCATTTGTGAAATTGTCTCTGGCAGTGCTTTCCTGTATGTTTCCGGCAGCAAATAGCATAAACCGGCACCAAAGAGGGCAAGAACTCCCATCACAATGTATGGGAGTGCCCTGACATAGTTACCTGCAAAAGGTGAATACATGAAATGAATGACGAATGCAGTGAAATTCTAACTTACTAAGATTCTTTAAAAAAAAACAAAACAGCAACAAAAAAGGAAAACTCTCCTCTTGTTAAATGTAATCTAAGTTTGCAGGAAACTTTAACCTTGAGGTTTGAGGCAGATGATATAACTAAGCAAAAGACTATTTCCATTATGAGTTAATTTGCAGATTATTTTCTTAATAAATAATTTAGTCTACGAAATGTAAAAACAACAACAACAACAAAAAAACAGGAAAAGGCTTGTTTAGTCTAAACAAGGAAAAACATTTAAATATTACATTTGGAGGCTGGAATGAATGTTTGGCTTTAAATAATAATTAAAATGAGTAACTGATGTTGCAGATTCATTTTCTATTGACTGACTAATGTACTCATGAACAAACAGTTGCTCCATACTGCAGAAGTAATTATCACTACCACAATTTGGGTCAGAAATATTGCCCTTGTTCTGGCTAATCACTCAAAAGGTGAAATGACATATACTTACCCAGATAAATGATGAAGGGGGCGATGATGGTGCCGATTCGTGCAGCCATGGAGCAACACCCCATCGCTGTATTTCTGATAACAGTGGGGAAGAGCTCCGATGTGACGGCGTACACCACACAGAATGCTGATGTGATGCCAAACTTTCCCACCAGCTCAAGAAACACACCCACAGCTGGTATGCCTAGGCAAATAAAACATTTGTTGTTGTCAGCACCAGACATGCCAAAGAAATCAAATCAGTTGCATTCAAAATATCTGATTTTCAGCTTTCTCCATGTAAAAATATACCATATCGCCTAAAGTTCCCCTCCCAGCTTTGATTAAACTTTCAAAAAACACTCATCTCTGTGCATCAAACTTCCATATTTAGAATTTTTTTTCCATTAAAATAATCAGTTTCTGCCTTAAAAGAAGTAGATGCAACTCTACATTGTTGCCTCCTTCAGAAGTTGCAAATCTGCAAAGTCCCTGCCTCTCTTACCACCCGCCCCTTTGGCACTCGGTGCAGCTTGAGCACACCAGCTCACCTTCGACTCATGTTTGAACCAAAAAAACTGATTGTTAGGAACGTTACCCTGTTGTCTGAATCAGTGCTTTTGAGACTGTCATCGGTACGCTAAAGCTACAAGGTGGAAAAGCTCAGTCATGGTGTTGACTGCATCCTTTTCTCATGATTTTTGTTCTTGCATAGAAATAACACCATATGGACATGCTAACAAGGTTAGGGGTCATGTTAGAGGCATAACTAAAGCACTTTCCCTTATCTAGATAGGTGATCTGGATACAGATTGCAGGTTTATCTGGTTTGAATGGTGCCAACATTTTTGGCATATTCATCATAATGGTAACTCATTTGTAAAGTTTCATAAATGAACAACCTGTTTTAAGAGCTCCAAGTGTTACCTATTGGAATGAGGCGAGCACAGAGGATCATAACGCCAGCAAGGAAGAGTGTGGAAGACTGGCAGAAGTGCCTGGAGCAGTGCTGGAGCAATAACAAGGCTATTATGTAAGCTGGAACCTCAATTACAGCAGACAAGAAGCAGTTTAGGTATGGGTCTCCATACAGGTTTGACGTGTTGAGGACTAAACCGAAGTAACTGATGTTGATGATGATCCTGCCAAGAGATTCAGAACAACACTTGAATGCATGTAACACTGGAAACATAAAATACTAAACCAAAAGACAACAAATGTGGGCACAGGTTCATCAATGATCTTGCATAAAAAACACTTTAATTCTATCTTAGGCATAAATAGTGAATGAAGTTGTCATGTATGACTGTTATTCTGTTTGATCAGCTTTTGGCTTTAAGGTTTTAAGGCTCTATGCCATGGAAGGTAAATGTAGACGTACCACAGAAGTGAACAAATTACTGTAAGGCTGAAAATGTTGCAGTCTTTCAGAATGGCCAAACTATTGTATTTCTGGTCTTTCCGTGCCAACAGATCTTCAAGCTGTGAAAAAACAAGAGAAATGTTTAAACGTTGAATGTGTAAATGAAGTTCTGTCACATCCACTGCAGCTGACTATTACATTTGTGTTGCCGTGATTGAACACAATATGGCATAATCGCTCACCTATAACAAATTAACGTGACATGTTGACCAACTCCAAGAGATAAGAAAAACAAAGCAATAAATGATTGCTTTTACTATAAACTAATAAAAATTTCAGGACCTTTGAGGCACACATAGACTATGATTGATCACGTGTTGCAAATAAAGACCTCAACTTGCCAATAAACGTACCTCAGCTTGTGTAAAAATAGACTCTGGGGCCTCTACTTTATTCATTTTGGCAAAACTGAGCAGAATGGCCTCAGCCTCCTTCACTCTTCCCTGAGAGAGCAGCCAGCGAGGAGACTCTGGGAGGATCCTGCACAGACAAACACAGGGATACTACAATATCTACAGACCGACACAAAAAAACACCTGCTGACCTGCACCAAACCAAACTCCTGAACCCAGTGGACCCTATGGGGCCTACATCAGCAAAATGTTGTTTGGATTTAAAAGTTAAACTTTAAACTAAATGGCATTCACCAAACCAACCATATTATCTTTGCACAGCTTCTCTGTGCATGTCTTCAGTGCAATGCATTTTTTTTGTCACTCATTACTGTCCCAATACTTCAAAGCAGTGACTATTCTTTAAAACAAACTTGGACAAGATGAGATTTATGCTAGGTTGGAAGATGCCTTGGTTTTACAAGAAAAAAAGCTTCACGGTTGATGATCAAATATTTGGTTTGGCAGTTTCATAGCTGTTTAACTCCCTACTTTGAGTATAGACAAGCAAACCTCAGCGGATGAAACAGTCCAACACAAGGGAACCAAAAGGTGCAAGATGTTAACTTATTCTTCAATAGTGACTGAGAGAGCAAACCGGCTGCATGTGCAGCTTTCTTGTTTTAATGAAGCATTAAGTTCCTTTGAAGAACAAAGAATTACCACACCTAAGCTTATTTCTCAGTTACAAACAAGACATACTACCAAGCACTGTAGGAGGTGATGTTCAGTATATGACTATTCCTACCACCACAGAGGGACATAGATCAAGCTGCAGGCAGCCATGGGAATCAGCAGCGACCACCAATCACGGAGGAAGTACGCCACTGCAGGCATTGCCATGTACCCCACAGCTGAGCCCATGAAAACTCCAAGGGAGCAGAAGACCACTCTGCTGTTTGGGCTTAGAATTTCGGCACCTGTAAGTCAAAAGAGAAGCTTTTAGTTGCTCCATTGCAAGTAAGTTTGTTCTGGTGTAAGATCATAGACCTCATACACTTTTCATTGCTGAGGCAGTCATATGCACCCAAATATCTTTAAAAAAAATGTGATCATATGAAGCTATTTTGCATTAACAATTAACCACCAAAGCACATCAACCAGCACATCAAAAAGGGACGCATCGAGGCTAGACAAATTAATCAGGTGGGCCAGCTCTACAGTGGGCATGAAACTGGACTCCCTGGTGACAGTGGCAGAGAGGAGGACACTGAACAAACTGCTGGCCATCATGGATGATGCCAGCCACCCTCTGCACACTGTCATCATCGCCCAGAGGAGCCAGTTCAGCGACAGGCTGCTCCTCCCCAGGTGCAAAACTAACAGGACCA